TTTTATTGCTATGAAAGTACTTAATCTCCCACCTCGAGATTGGACTGCTAGTGTAGTGTGTGTAGGTGTATTTACAGATGCAGATGCGGCTATAGCTACCCTGTATTCTTGAAATAATATGTTGCATGTTTTCATAATAGGGGCAAACTGTATTTGATCAACGAAAATACGCTCTAAAAATTCTTGTAAACCAACTTATTTACACCTAAGATCAGTCATTATAGCTAAACCTAATAGATGAGGCAAAGGATGAAAATATTTATCAAATTTTTCTTTCATTGAAGTAATAATAGTTACATAAAGTTCATTACCCATATATTTTATGAAAACTTTAATTATTTCTACTAGCATATGTAAAACAAATGGTGAAGTAGGAATATATATATAACAAAATAATTTTGTTGAAGTATCGAAAACATTTTTAAAAAATTTATACAAGGTTACTTGACGCCAATTAAGTTTAGTGGGTGTCAGTACTCCTCCTATTGATGTTGTTGCAAAAAATAAATCTATTGCTCCTCTTTGTTTACAAGCTATTTTTAATAAATTATATGTTGAATTCCACCTAATATCTACATCTAAAATTAATTTTTTAAATGACATATTTTCTCGTTGACAAATTTTTCTATATTCTGAAATTCGATTACCAGAAGACATAATAGTAACAACTGCATTTTTTATTACAAGTACAGAAGTTTCGTATACATGCATAGCTTCTTTAACAATCAAATTTAAAATATGGGCACAACAACTAACATGAAATAAATCACCATCAACAAGTAATTGTAAACTTGATTTTAAATGGGCTACAGTTTGATTATAATATGATGTATTATCTAAACTAATCGTAAATATTTTATTTTGTAAAGCCCACTCATATAATACATTTCTTATTTGTACACCAAGCGAATGACCAGTGTATAGAAGTTCAATTAATTTAAAAGAAATAATTCTTTTATTTAATTTCCAGTCATTATCAATAAAATGTGCAGTGATGCATTGATATTCAAAACCATTATTTGACCACAGATCAGATGTTAAACAAATTCTTCCATTCAAATTTTTAAAGTTATCAAATAATTCACTTTTAATATCCTCAAATTTCTTTAAAATCCTATTTCTAGTAGTATTTCTTGAAAAACTTTGATATTGCTGTAGGAACCCACATTTTATGTTCTCATCATGTTCATGAGCATCTGTGTGATTATGATTTGTTAAGTTTGCATGTGTGTGTTGTGAAATATAATCAACTACAGAATTTTGTGCGCGTATAGGATCATATGAAAATGTTTGCAAATTACCAGTTGATGAAGCCCCTAATTACATTTGACTTCGAATATCAGGTTGTTTACTTTGTAAATGTTTGTCAAAATGCCTTTTTAAATGACTAGTACCCCTGCAGATGAAACACAAAGTAAACGTGCACAATATTTACATTTTTCTTTAAATGTAATTGTGCCATCAGGATTATTTATACATATTTTTTCAAAATGTTCCCAAACATTACTACTTCTGCTCTTAGATGATGATGCAATTGTTGGAAGAGTGATATTAGAAGGAGAATCAACAGATTCATGTGGTATAGTATATGTATCAACATCGACATAAACATTAGGCATATTAGGATCCGTAGTAATACAAGTAAAACAATATATAAGAATTAACAATTAATTTAAATAATGTGTAAATTCAATCAGTAAAAAATAATAATTAATATATGTGCATAAATAATTAATGAAAAAAATGAACAGTTAATAAATTTAATTAAACTAATTAATGTTACCGACTGGCGAATGCGATATAGAAATTTTCTTCTTCTACTAAAAGTTTCTTGTTTCACAATTGCAATAGCCACTTAGGGATGGCACTTCAAAATTAATTGAGAGTTGAGAGAGATTGAGAGAGTTGAAGAGAGAGAGAGAGAGAATGATGTGTTGTGAAATATATTTTGAAAACTAAAATATATTTATACTAGTTTAAATTCTAACCGTTTGAATTATTATGACCGTTTTTCATATATCTGTTTGAGTTGTAGAGGAGATGGAAATTTGCAATGCAACGGCTCAAAATTGAGGCTAGGCTAGGAAATGGTTGCCTCCTTTTTGGGCAACCATTTAGACGGTGCTCTTTGGCCAGTGGGAGCCATCACGGGTCTCGTTTTGCTAATCAGAACTGTCAATGTGTACAACTCGTCAAGTATTATATGTTTGTAAAAAATCATATTGATCGGATATTTATAACTATCTGATCGAATTAGTTTTTTTGGTCAACCATTAACTATAACACCATTCATTTTTATACCAAATTGATTTGATCATGTAGTTAGCGATATCCGATTAACGTGATTTTTTACAGGCATATAGTAATAGAAGAGTTCTACACATTGAATGGTTTAGATTATCAAAATGGGCCTCATGGTGAGCCCCACAAGCCCAGTATTACCTTCCAACTTAGTATGTATATATATATATATATATTTTTTTTTTTTTCTTTCACGTGAGCTTAGGACCTTAGGTGTACTTTCCCATATATATTATTAGGTGCACTTTCCCACTTTCCCAGCCACACACACAGACTGTACTGTTGTGCACACAGTGATACATCATATCATTATTTTTCATTAAATAATTCATAATTTGATTTTAATTTAATAAATTATTATTAATTTTTGTTTTATTTTTAAATTATTAATGTTATTTATTTATTTATTTTAATTTTTATTTATATATATACACTTAACACGCATCTTAACACACACTTTAACACATCCATTGCATTATGTAGACCGCCCGAACTCGCTCCGCGCGCCCCCCTTTCGGAGAGGGCGCGGATTGGGTTCTAGCTACTACAGTTCGGACTCCTGTCACGGTTCTGAATCTAATCTCACAAAGTGCAATGTAAGACTGATTTTTTTTATTTTTATAAGATCAATCTTTTTATTTATTTAATTATTTTATTTTTTTATTTTTATAAGATCAATATTTTTATTTTTTTATTTTTATAAGATCAATTATTTTATTTTTTTTATTTTAATAAGATTAATCTTTTTATTTTTTTTATTTTTATAAGATCAATCTTTTTACTTTTTTATTTTTATAAGATTAATCTTTTTATTTATTTTTTTTAATTATTTAACTATTGTACGTTGTTTTTTATTTTTATTTTTTGAAATTTGATCATTGGTAGAAAGAGGGATTGATGGTTGGGCCGGGCCGGGCCCCAAAATGGAAGGCCCAGGCCCAAGCCCAAGGTACTAGGCTGGGCTTCGGGCCGCCCACAGGCCTTGGGCCATTTTTACACCCCTAATGGCTTGTTTGTTTTGAAGGATAACTCATGGGATTGGACTATTAATCCGAAGAGATTAATAATCCGTTGTTTGGTATGGATTTTTTGGTCCGGATTAATAATCCCCCGGGACTATTAATCCTATATTCATTGGCTTATTGTATCCAGGGGGGCCTGGGACAGAATTCATGAGACAGTGTATGCCATGGGATTAGCCAGGTTTATTACATCTTTGACCCTATCTCTTTCTTTTAGCTTTTCCCATTTTGCTTTCACTGCAAGAGCTTCATTTCACTGCAGGAGCAGGAGCTTCATTTCATCTTTAATCTCCAATCTGTTGAACCTTTGCATCCGATCTTCATTCAGGTTTGAAACTCATTCTATTTATTTTTTGTTGAGCTTCATTCTATTTATTTTCAGCAGATTTTTTCCAGATTTTCCGATCTTCTATTTATTCCAGATTTTTTTTTCCAGATCTGTAACCTTTATCTCTGTTGGTTGATTTATTTGTTTTATTGATTTATGTATCTTTACCTTGGATCTATGGTAGATGGCAAGTATACAAAAGAGAAATCCATTCAGTTCAGATCTGTAACCTTTCATCTTTTTTTGGCTTTGTTTTTTGTTTATACAAAGAAAATCCATGCTCTGTTTTTTGCCACATTTGGGACAACATCCCTAAACAAGGATTCATTAGTACTCTTGACATTTTATAGGTGGGAGTGCCTTTTTTTGTATAGTTATGTTTCAAAACATTAATTAAAATCTAAAATGATCTCATTCACTATACTTGGACCATGATATGCAGCAGCACCAACCATTCTTTCCTGTAAATTCCACATGCTAAACACAATTACTTTTTCATTTCAATCTAAAAATACCCATATTATTAATTTCCTCACACATTTGCCACTACAAAACTGATTAGGCTATGCTTGGATGTTGGATTCGTCAAGTAAAAGGGAAATGTTAGAGAAATGAAATTACTTATACAATTTCAAGATCCAAACACTGCATTAGTGCACCCAAAAAAAAATTGAGATTATGTACAGAAGTAATGATCTCATGGTAGCAAAATACAAATATTGTCAAAAGGACATGGCAAAATGTAATCCATTCTTCCAATTACATATTTCAAATCCACTAGAAAAAGCTCATCTGAACCACCAAAAGAGAGCTAAAACATAATACCCATTTCTCATTTATAAGATACAAAAAAAATTACATAAAAATAACTTTCCTCTTAGAAAATAATTAAGCCTCTAAGCTGTGGCCTGGGGCAACAAAATCAATCTTCTATGTAGTATTTAATTATCAATAGATTCTCTGCAACCAGGCTTTAAAGGTCCATTTTCAGTGTAACAACTATTATCCTATTATAGTGGTGGCCAAGAAGTTCATTACCTCCCCAATGTAACCACACAGGCTGCATCAAACCACGAAAAGACCAATAATCTAAAACATTAATTTTGTTTATTTTCCAATAAAATAATCTATTTATTTTCGGCAGCTTCATTCTATTTATTTTCCAATCTTCTATTTATTCTCTGATCTATTTAGTAAATTGTTTATGATTTGCCATTATGTTTTCTCCTTTACTTAATTTATTTGTAATTTTAAATATTTTCTTCTATATAGAGATGGATTAGAATATCAATGATTTTGATGATGAGAGTAACGATGAGCTTGAATTATACATAGTGTTGCAAGCTGTAATGCAAGAACTACATGCCTTATGCACCGTAGCTTTTGTTGTCATTGAGGTTGTCTTGAAAAGGTATTTATCTGAGTATCTCCATAACCTTATTAGAGAGCCTAATCGACTGCAAAAACAAATGGACTATATTAACCGTTTAGTGAGAGAAAGTGACATAACATGTGTTGAACAACTCTGTATGAATCGGCGTGCTTTTATGACCTTGTGCAATATGGTTCATACAATAGGTGGGTTAGGGCATTCAAAATATGTCACTTTAGAAGAGAAGGTGGCCTTTTTCCTCTTCATCTTGGCACAACACTTAAAAATACGAAATGTTAAGTTCAATTTCTATAGGTCTGGAGAGATTGTTAGTCGGTATTTCAATGATGTCTTAAAGGCTGTGTTGCGTCTGCAAGCCAATTTACTCGTCACACCAAATCTTATAACTGAAGCAAGCACCAATCCAAGGTGGAATTGCTTCCAGGTAATGGATTTGTAAAAATTTGGTAACACTGTATTACTTTTTTTTTATTCTTTTTCCTCTTCATCTTGGCACAACACTTAAAAATACGAAATGTTAAGTTCAATTTCTATAGGTCTGGAGAGATTGTTAGTCGGTATTTCAATGATGTCTTAAAGGCTGTGTTGCGTCTGCAAGCCAATTTACTCGTCACACCAAATCTTATAACTGAAGCAAGCACCAATCCAAGGTGGAATTGCTTCCAGGTAATGGATTTGTAAAAATTTGGTAACACTGTATTACTTTTTTTTATTTCTTTTATTAAAGCTTTACCAAAAACAAAAATCATAACTATTATAATGTCTATTGAATTGGTTTGTTTAGAATTGTCTTGGAGCACTCGATGGCACCTATATTAAAGTTTGTGTACCTGTGGTTCATCAAGCAAGGTATAGGACAAGAAAAGAAGAGATTGCTACTAATGTTTTGGGAGTTTGCTCCCGAGACATGAATTTCATATATGTGTTGCCGGGGTGGGAAGGGTCAGCGGCTGACTCAAGGGTTTTAAGAGATGCAATCAATCGACCCAATGGCTTAAGGATCCCAAATAGTAATACAAAAGTACTTAATTTTTCTTAAATTCATGAATAAAAATTTAATCTAATTCATAACATTCCACGCACAGGTTACTATCACCTAGTGGATGCGGGGTATACGAATGGGAAAGGATTCTTAGCACCTTACCGTGGTCAGCGATACCATTTGTCTTTTTGGAGAGAAGGAGCAACGCCAAATAATTACCAAGAATATTTCAACATGAAACATGCATCAGCCAGGAATATCATAGAAAAGTGTTTTGGAATGTTGAAAATGAAATGGGCTATACTTCGCAGTGCATCATACTATCCCATTAAAACCCAAAATCGAATTATCACAGCATGTTGCTTGTTACACAACTTCATTCGACGAGAGATGGTAGTTGACCCTCTAGAGGATGATCCAGACTTAGCGGATGCCTTAGAAACTCAACCCCCAATGGGAGATGATTTTATTGAGACTGGTGAGACATCTAACGAGTGGACTGAGTGGCGGGATACATTTGCAATGCAATTGTACAACAATTGGTTGGCTAATGGAGGGGCTGGATAAAAATAGCTTTTTGTTTTTACTTTGCTTTGTTGTTAAACCATTTAAATTTGTGATGTGTCATTGCTATGTACGTTTATGAATAATTGACATTGTGGATGTTGAATTATATTTGCAATGGTTGGTATTATGATATATATGTTTGTGAGTTATTTATATTTTATGGTAATGCATATGAAATGTTCAATTATTACGGTAGGCATGGATAATAAGGTATCCAGTTCTCCTAAGAAAAAGAATGACAAGCTTGATTCATTAAAACAAAGGTGAATATGGAGCCCACGTCAAGAGGACTGTCTAATTTCAGCCTTGTTGTTCATTGTGAATGATGGAATGAAAGTTGACAACTCTTTCAAGGCAGGCTATCTTATGAAATTGGAGAATAAAATGGCGGAGTTATTACCCGGGATAGATTTACATGGCTCTCCCCATATCAAATCAAAGATTAAAATATAGAAGAAGCAATACAATTCTATGTCTGGTATGCTTGCTACTAGTGGGTTTGGATGGAATGATACTCAAAAAAGAATTGACGTAGAGAGTGATAGTGTTTGGGAGGCATATGTTTGGGTAAAGTTTTCTCCTTTTGTTATTTATGTACTATTTCATATATGTATTTTAACCTTATGTTGAAGATATTAATTGGGATTAGTTGGTCATTATAGAGAGACAATGATGCAAAACACCTGAGGAACAAAACTTTCCGACATTTCGATGAATGGATTCAAATATTTAGCAAAAATCTAGCTACAAGAGAGTTTGCTGAAGGCCTTGCTGATGCAGTTGAGGCTATGAATGCTGAGGAAGATGTGTTGTTGCATGGTCTTGCAGATAATGACACTTTTCTGGAACAAATGGGATTAAATAGTCAGATTGGTGAAGCAATGGATTATTCAAACTTAGCAACTCAACGGCCTTCTGATAGTTCTACCAAAAAGAAAGACAAGAAAAGACCTAGAGCCAATGATGAAGTAGTTGAAGGGCTGACCATGTTTGCTGACAAGTTGGTAGATGTCTTAGGAACAACCAATGATAAGCTAGAATTCATTGGAAAAATAATGGGGTATTCACATGATCTTGCATCTAAACGGGCATCACTAAACAATGAACTTAGGAAGTTGCCAATTACTATAGATGAAAGGTTAGATGCTTATGAAATCATATCCCATGATGTCCAAAAGCTTGACATGTTCTTCAGCTTGACACATGATGATAGGCTAAGGTAGGTGATGAGGTTGCTAAGTAGGCATGCTTCATAATAAACTTGTTGCATTTCATTGGAGTATTTTCTTTTTGGCCATGATTTGATATGCATGGTAGGGAATGCTTTTTGTCAAGTCTATTATAAACTTGTTAATAGACTTAATTATTGCTTCTTTTGTGTACAAGCACCCGTATTTTGTTAACTATAATTGGGATGCTTTTTATGTATTGTTTTTGTGGTTGGCTTTGTATAGTGTCTTTGCTTTAGACTTCGGATCATAATAGAAATTGTGAAGTGTCCTTATTAGCTCTTTTCCTTTATGGTGTTTATATTTCCACCTGATTGAATAATTGAAATTGTATATATTGCCTTTATGGTGTTTATAATTGAATAATTGAAATTGAAATTGTATACATTTTATGGTGTTTAATTGAAATTGTATATATTGCCTTTCTGTGGTTGGCTTTGTATTGTGTTTCCAGATTTCTGGTTATGACAAAGCAAAAAAATTCTGATAATAACATGACAAAGCAATATATATCACAATTTTTTTTATGTAAGGGTGTTCACAAATTGTGTTTTCAGATTTTTTTGCTTTGAGGTTATCATTTGATTTTTTATGATAATAAAATTGTGATTTTTTTATATCAAGGGTTGTGATATATATTCTTTTTATACAAAAATCTAGCTGCACTAAAAATCTAGCTAGATGTTTAGTTGAACACTTGAAAAAATTGGCATGACAAGGTAGAATTAGGCATGAAGTCAAAAAAAATCTGTGACGCATGAAGTCAAGAACTTTGTCATTTTATTATCACAATTGCTACCTTGTCCTGATCTACTAGAATTAGGCATGAAGTCAAAAAAAATTCATATTTGGTGCATTCATGGTATTAATTATACTTAATAAAGTAAAAAAAAAAAATTAAAATCTCAATTACAAATTAAAATAAATTTATGTAATATTTATTAATATTCTATTTATTTAATATTTTAAAAGTTCTAGTAAACAAATTAAATAAAATTTATAATTCATATTTAATATTCTTATTATTTAGTAAATAATTCAAAAGGGCAAAATAGTCTTTTGAACATTTATCCTTCTTTATAATATCCCAAACAAACATGGGATTCAATCGAATAGTCCAATCCAAACCTCTAATCCCATGACTAAACAAACATAGGATACAAATCCAGTCCGACCAAATAGTCTAGGGATAATGTATCCCAGGACTAACAGTCCGATGGATTACAATCCCCCCTTATCCAGTCCGCCTAAACAAACGCACCCTAAGTGTGATAGTGCTGAAATGATGAGTGTTAGTGTAGGTTAGTGTTATAAAGTAGTGTGTTAGTGTGTTGTGAGTGTGTTAGTGTTCTGGAAATATTCCTTTTACTCTCTTATATACAGGAGAGCCATTGTACACATTGAGATATAACATATAATACATACATACATATTTCTTTCATAATTCTCTCTCAACCATTAGTGTTGACGTGGCAGAAGATGTAGCACCGACCTGTCTGCCACATCTCGACGATGTGGGGCTGAGAATGCCACGTGGCGCTAAGTTGGCGGTGACATGGCGGTGACGTCATGGACACGCGCGCAACACTCGCCTTCTACTTTCCATCACGCGTCTGGCGCGTGTGCGTGATTAGGATGACGCGCTAGAGCCATCAATGGCGCGTGTGGCGCGTGCCTGAGAGTGGGCCTCACGCGCTTTCTTCAGGAGGTGTGAGGGCACGTGTGGGCTTCTCTGCGGCTCTGTTTTGCAGTTCTGGACTCCTCTCGTCGAGATCTTCCTCCTGGTATGCTCAAAAGTGAATTTCGAACAACTTGATTTCTGGGCAGATTCGAAAAACACCCTTTGTTTTTTTCAAAAAGCAACCGATGAGGCTCTGATACCATTTGTTGGGGATTGGGGATCTGGCCCAAGACCTCCAAGAAATTATACCAAGAAGGAAAAACACACACACACCCAAGGAGACACCATATTTAACGTGGTCCGGCCTTAATGCCTACGTCCACGGGAGAGTAGTCGGGTTATCACTATAACAATGGAGAGATTGCAAATAGATTACAATAGAGGAGGAGTTCACACTATCCTCACTCACCCGTCTCCCTCTCTCACACCGAGAGAGATAGTCTTTCTACTTCACATCTCTCACTCTCTATTATAATATATTACACCAAAACATACCAGCCCACAGATTCAAAAACCACCACTTACATCCCTTTTCTTATATTTTTTTTTCCATTAAAAAAAAAAAAACCCAATCACAAAACTACATTCATTTCAATTGATTTTTTTGCTCAATATTGTGTCATTCATACCATATGGATTTTCACAACAAGATCATTTTATTCATGTCGGGGATCAAATCCGATCAACGTTCTACACCAAAGAGTTACCAGGAAAAAAAAAACACAATCCAACCACAACAACAACAACGGCCACCCGCCGACCTCACTTACTCGACTCTGCCGCCGATCTCTTCCTCTTGTTTTTGTCTTGGGCGACCCTTGACGACCCTGCCTCAATGCTTCCAAGACCGCCAAGTGAGTTGACACCCCGTTGCTCATTAAAAGCAGAGTACAGCGGAACTCTGAATCAGACCATGACGGTGGTTTTTCGTTTCAACTCTTTATTTTCCGCCTTCAGAGCGCTAATTTCTGCTCGCCCATCCTTATACATGTGCTGGAATAGTGAGAGTTGGCCATTTAACTGGTGTACCTTACTAGTTCTATTCTGTAGCCGGTGCGACAACTTAGAGACCGCAGTCACTATCTCCATACCAGACTTCAGCATATAGTGGTTGGCTTCAATGTTAGTTTGAGCTACCATTATTTGCTCAATGGATAGTGTTAGAAAGTTTAACGGAGCAGGGGCAGGGGCAGGGGCACTCTGTCCCGGGGCGCTTATAGGATCATTGAGGTCTAGAAAGAGGGTAAGAGAACCACGGGAAAAGGCCATATGAGAGGTGTAAATAGAAAGGGGTCGCAGAGTGGTTCAGAGGATGCAAAGAAAAAGGGTTGCAGAGTGGTTTGTAGTCTTTGTGCTCTGCCTCTCTCAACGGCCTCGGTTTAAAAAGAAAGCAAAGAAAAGAAGACGACAAAGAGGGAGCATCTAGCTCTATCGATCACGTGAATCACGTGCTAAACACAACGCTCGAAGCCATAGTGTCAAGCGCAAATTTTGCATGTAAGGTGCGACTTTTGAAGGCGAGATACATATATATATATATATGTATATCTTTGCATGTATATATGCACGACCACATAGTGTTTTCTACAACGATTTGACACGACCACACAGTGTCTTCTACAACGGTCAGACACCACCATATAGTTTCTGCTACACTGGTCTACAATGATCTGACACGACAATACAGTGTCTTCTACACCGGTCCGCCACAACCATATAGTGTCTTCTACAACGATCCGACACGATCATACAATGTCTTCTACAAATGGTCCGATACGACCACACAATGTCTTCTACAACAGTCTGACACGACCACACAGTGTCTTCTACAACGGTCCGACACCACCACACAATGTCTTCTAAGACCGTCCGCTACGACCACACAATGTCTTCTCCAACGGTCCGACCCGACCACACAGTGTTTTCTACAACGGTTTGACACGACCACACAGTGTCTTCTAAACCGGTTCGACACGACCATACAGTGTTTTTCTACAATGGTTCGACACGACCATACAGTGTTTTCTACAACTGTCCGACACGACATACAGTGTCTTCTACAACAGCCTGCTTCAATCATACAGTGTCTTCTATAACGGCTTGACACGACCATACAGTGTCTCCTATTTTATTTTATTTTTAGTTTATTTTTCCATTTTGTTACTCTCTCCAAACTCAAGTTGGTTTGTACCTATCCTCCTTGAGTTTGATTGGGGATGTTAGTGTGATAGTGCTGTAAAGATGAGTGTTAGTGTGGGTTAGTGTTGTAAAGTAGTGTGTTAGTGTGTTGTGTTAGTGTGCTGGACATATTCTTCTTACTCTCCTATATATAGGAGAGCCAATGTACACATTGAGATATAACATAGAATGCATATGTACATATTTCTTTCATAATTCTCTCTCAACCATTAGTGCTGACGTGGCAGATAACGTAGCGCCGACCTGTTTGCCATGTGTCGATGATGTGGCATCGAAGATGCCACGTGGCGCTGAGTTGGCAGTGACGTGGCGATGATGTCATGGACAAGCGCGCCACTCGCCTTCTTTTTTCCGCCGCGCGTGCGGTGCGTGTACATGACTGGGATGATGCGCCAGAGCCTTCAATGGTGCGTGTGGCACGTGCCTGAGAGTTGAGTGTTAGTGTGGGTTAGTGTTGTAAAGTAGTGTGTTAGTGTGTTGTGTTAGTGTGCTGGACATATTCTTCTTACTCTCCTATATATAGGAGAGCCAATGTACACATTGAGATATAACATAGAATGCATATGTACATATTTCTTTCATAATTCTCTCTCAACCATTAGTGCTGACGTGGCAGATAACGTAGCGCCGACCTGTTTGCCATTGTGTCGATGATGTGGCATCGAAGATGCCACGTGGCGCTGAGTTGGCAGTGACGTGGCGATGATGTCATGGACAAGCGCGCCACTCGCCTTCTTTTTTCCGCCGCGCGTGCGGTGCGTGTACATGACTGGGATGATGCGCCAGAGCCTTCAATGGTGCGTGTGGCACGTGCCTGAGAGTGGGCCTCACGCGCTTTCTTCAGGAGACGCGTGAGGGCGCGTGTGGGCTTCTTTGCAGCTCTGCTTTACAATTTTGGATTCCTTTCGTCGAGATCTTGTGACGCCCCAATTTTTTTTTTTTTTGAAACATCATAAAAATTTAAATAACAATAACTTACTAGATAAAATTTTAACTACTAATTAAGGAATTTTAAACCCTTACATAGTCAAGTCCAACAACAAAATAAAATTACAAGTTCACATATAACGTCACAACATTGTTAAATACTAATACAAGAGATAATAGAATTTTA